TGCCGGTGCACAACTGCGAGTACGCGGAGAATATGCGGCGTTGTGCTTCATATATCACAATCCGTTATCACCCCGATAGTGCTTTGTGACATAGATCTTTGCTTTTGGATCGCGGAAGTCGTGTGCACGAAAACACGGTGATGGAAAATCGAGATATATATGAGACTGCGCTTGACGAACTTCGCACAAGATGCATAATGCTTTGCTTCTGCTCTCCATTACGGATTGTCGGATGATTCTGCAATCATGTTTCCGCGAGAAGGGAAGTTTAATTCCAAGTTCATCCGAGAATCTGTCAGCGACGGTAAATCCGCAGTCATCACACACATGCCGGTATATTTCAATAATTAGAAAATTTGCTCTCGTGATTCAGAAAGAGAAGAGAGAAGAGAGAAATTTTTTTTTTTACAAGAAAGAGTAAATGTTACAGTCGCCTTCATAAAATTTCAATAAGTTTTCGTGTAATTGTGTGTCTCAAGCGTGTGTGATTAAAGAAGACTTGAGTGACTCATTATTGAGATTGTGGTGAATGATCATTAAAAACGCTCTAAAGGTATCAGTATCGTGTCACCTGTGATGGCAATCTTGCAGGACCACTTGCTGGTACCCTCAAGGACGATCTGTTCGGCCTGCTCGAGACTGTCTATGTGCGTATCCGGGTCCACTGAAAACGTCGTGCTGAAAAGAAGACAATGCCCTCGTCATCGGATCGTCCTTCGACAACCTCTCGTACCCCTTTCGTGCCGTCGTCATTTCACGCTCTTAGAGATTGTTTAGAGAAAAGAACCCTCCCGAGATGGGGCACCTTTGAGGCGACCAGAGAAGTGTACGTCTTACAGAGGCCACCGAAGGACGTGGGATCGTTGCGAGGCGGGAGATCGTCCGTAATTATCCAACAGCCATCCAGCAGCAGCAGCAACAGCAGCAGTAGCAGCAACAACAGCGTTGGCGGTCATATTCAGCAGCTCAGCTATACTAGCGGGAACGCATTCGCGCAGCAGGACACTAGGCAGTATTTTTCACGGGGATTAACCCCCGTAATATGAGTATATCTCGACACCTGTGTGTATCTCGTGTGAAAGCAAAGCGAGACGTGTGTTTCAAATCCGCGCCTCAATCCGACATGGATTAGCTCTGGAAACTGTCCTTCCTATATCTTTCGCAAGTTCTCGGCGCAAGCCGATATTCTGTACGGAATTCGACAAATAAGTATGAAATGACGATTGGAAAAGGGAGACTACCCTTACTCAAAATACAGATCGGTCAGAAGCGGCGCGATCGACTTTATTTACATCGAAGAAGAACGACGGTATTTAAGAATCGTATATAGGGATATAGTAGATAAAATGAAATTGAATCGAGTCGATCAAGCGTGTTCCAAACAATGGAATATCACTAAAATTCTATCAAAGTTTCGTCAAAAACGTGCAAAATACACGAGAAAAAGTCAATCGATCATACACGCGTTGTCACGCCACGAGCAAGTATGGTAATAAGCATTGCCATGCCACCTGTTAACAGCCTGCCATCGTAAAGTTAGTATCGTTTCATACGGAGAGATGACCGAGGCAATGCGCCTGTCGGTTCGGAATAAGAAAACTTGTTGCTCGACTTATGTGGCGCATCGCCAATACGGGACTTCCGTTGTCCTAGTCGTAGTAATAATCGTCTTACGAAGACAAATATATAAACAACTTTATACACGCAACGTCCGTATTATCACCATGAGCCAATGATCTGCAGTTACAGAGATATCAAACGCTGTTTTGTCATAAATATTTAATCGTTTATCAAATTAAAAATAAATTTTCGCGTGCCTATATAAGTTTGGGGAAATTTAATTTTCTCCTCCTTCACTGAAGAATAATTACGAATACTTTTCATCCGTGATCGAAGATTTGGTTCTATATTGAAAGAAGAGAGAGAATATATTAAAACTTTTTTTATGAAAAATTATACATTAAAGCGTAATTTCGTAACCGAATTATAATTATTTTAAAAGAAGGAAGATAAAATTCTTTCGAAAATTTGATCTTCGGGAAAAAATTTGATTTTCTCCCCGAGTGACATCTTCGAATATGGAGAATAAGAAAGAATTGATGGAGCAAACTCTCTTTTGAATTACGACCATCGATCAACGCCGTTAAACTTCTCTCCGGTAAAGTACACCGAGTACGTTGTAAAAGACTATATGTACTTATGTTTCTTCTATTCCCAACGCGGTATGAAACGACAAACGAAAGAAAGAGACTCGTTTTCTCTTTGATTCGGAGACACAATGGACTCGGGGATGCGTTACCGCGCGGAATAGAAATGATGAATACAAAAAAGGCAAAATGTGCACCCTCGCGTCGCGCGTGTTATTTCGGTCAGGTTACTTTTTCCACAATCGCGCACTTCTCTCGTGCAATATATTTTCTACGGTAATAGCTTGCGGAAAAGAAATCACGGAATCGATACAGCGCAGTATTGTTTGTTTACGAGAAGTAGATAAACGATATTAACTTGATACGATAATACTTTTTCGAAAGAGTCGTAATAACTTTATAAGGCCACTTTCAAATGAAGAAACTATGCTCGAGTTTCATAGAATATATATCGACCTATTCCTGTCTTGCGTCTGACAAACTTTGTCCCATCCATAATTCATAAATGCAATTTATTTCTCGAGATGTATGTCAGGAGGAATACATGTCTCCCTTATCTTTGACACGCAATACCCGTTCTAACATAGTGCGTTAAATGCAGCTTGCCAAACTAATCCGGCATCCTTCGAGATTAATTCATTTTCCTTATCTTCGACACGCGAGACTTTCTACCTCGAAACGCTAGGATTCGATCCAGAAACTGGAATGATGCGTTGGTCGAGACGATGATCGATGCTTCGATTATTATTTCGCAGCAGAACGCA